AAAAAAAAAAAAAAAAGAAGCCACTGGAGGATTTGAAGCAGGAGGATGACATCTGAGTTAAGCTTCTTAAAGACCCCTCTCGCCACTAGCTGGAGATAGGACTGATGTGGGGCAAGTGTGGCAGGACAAGACCAGTCAGGAGACAGTCATAAGGGAGCGGAGAGAAGTTGAGGCACATTTTGAGGATAGAGGCAAAAGGACTTGCTGAAGGATTAGATGTCAGTAATGAGAGAGTGAGACCTGAGAAGAATGCCCAGGTTTTGACAGATATAAGGAAGCTCTTGTATCAAACTCTTTGCTCCAGATTTTCATTAAGTATATGCTCCTCAACAAAAGAGCTTTCATTTGCCCACACCCAGAATTTTTCAGTCATCAAAGTGAGCAAGACCTACTCAGAAAAAGAGCTTTGGGAACTGAAACTGGACCAAAGCAATAAGAAAACTTGAGGTGTAGAAGTAGGAAGACTGTCCCAGCTTCTTTCCTTCTTGTCTTTTAACTGAGATCATTATTGACTGCTCCTCTGCCCTCACAATTCCCCTATATCTGTGAGCAAAGCCAGAAGTATAGAAAAAAGCCCTAATATGTTCATTCTTACATCCATTTCAGTGCTGGCTGTTATTTCTCTTCCCATGTCCTGAGATTGTCCCATGATGCCATGGAGGGGCAGAGAATGGAAGATGGATAGAGACATACTAGGGGAGAGAGGGGAGGAGTCAGAATTTACACTAAAGGAGTGGGGTTGCTGTGGAATTTGCTTCTTCTGCCCCTCTTCCAACCTCACATACTGGAATTGAGGTCCTTTCTCATCCACCATGGATGACCGAATTGAAAGGAAGACATACACCTGGACTGCAGAGTTTCATCCCTACAGGCTTGCAGCTCTGCCCCAAGTTAACCCTGAAACAAGAAAACAGGCTTAGTGGAGAATTTATTACAAGGTTTCATAATCTCCTATTTGATAGCAGCTGGTGGTACAAAGTGTGGAGTCTACTGGATCTGATTATTTAACAGATGGTTCTGTTTTCAAATTTACTCCAAATGTTCAGATGCTATTACACTACATTCATATTTCCCATCTGATACTACCCCCTGGGGCTGAGCTTTAATATGGGTTGTAATTTGTAAGTTTTTAGAATTTTCTTTTAATCTCCCAACAGAAAGAGAATTCCCAAACACCAGAGGCATCCACAGGGACCAGACAATGACTGCACATGAATACAAGAGGATTACTCTCTGAAGGAAGTCTTGCTTCAATCAAACCTCCTGCCAGAGGAAGGCTCAGATATGCACTATTTGGAGAAGCCTCAAAACCAGGCTCAAATGACCTTGATTTTTGAACAGTGTGTTCCTTTCCTTGGGCAGTACTTGTTAGCACATCAAAATTCTTAGTAGCAAATTAGGACTCCTTTAGCAGAGAATAAAGGCACTAAATAACTGTTACTGGCCCATCATGTGTCTCTAATTGTGTCACCTTGCTCCTCAGTAGGGTTTTACAGTCATTATTTCCAGGTTCTTTTCCCACTGCTGCATGTTAATGGTCTCCCTATTCTTTCTCTTCACTCCAGCTGCCTACAGCTGTCAGCCACCCACTCCAGCTTTGCCTTTCTAGTGTTTTCATCTTCTTGCCAGAATTATGAGATTTAATTTATAACAACAACAACAAAATGTTCCCTGAGCCTCCTTGTCTTGATGAATTTCTGGTTTCCTTCACCATTTAGGATCCTCCCCATTTCTCTGGGCACCTGTTTCTAGAGATGTCCTTTTAAAATGTTGCCTTTACTCTGCCCAAGTGCACGTTCCTAGTGGGCATGGGAAAGAGAACAAAAGCTTTGGAAGGTGGGATGTACTCAGGAGCTAGAGTGGTGCTAGGTGGAGAGTATGCTGATTTGGAGGCTTGGTTCTGAGTTAGTGTTACACATCTCTAGGGACCACTATTCACATAGAAAATCAAGTGGATGGTGACTTCTGCAGCTTTAAGATAATGAGGCTGATGCTACCTGGAGTTGTGCCAAGCAATGGCCCTCCCACTAATGAACTGTGAGACTTGGGACCGATTACCTCACATCTCTGGGGTTCCATTTTCTCACCTGATGAAAGAGCTTTGTACATAATGATACTAAAATCATTGCTGCCACTGTTTCTAAGACCATTATAAGGAAAAGGCCCACCCACTGTTCTGTGTGTGTGTACCTCTTCTGTAAACACTGGTCAGAGATAGCTACATAATTTGTGGGGCCCAAAATGAAAATGTGGGGCAGGGCCCCTTATTCAATGACAATTAAGAATTTTAAGGCAATGACTACAGAAAGTTAAAACAAGTATGGGGCCCTTATGAGGGTGAGACCTTTTATGACCATCCAGTCACCTGCCCACCAATCTGTTCCTGATGTTGCCACTACTATGTGACCATGAATAATCTACTGGGTAAAGTCATACCCTGTTGAGAAGGCATGTTTTCTCAGAATGGAAAGATTTCCTGAGTCAATCAAATGATGGATCCTCAGATAGAAAACCAGAAACTAAAAAAAAAAAAAAAAAAGTATCTTATGTATGTTTGTCTTGGTTGAGGTCCTTTGGGTCTAAATGTCAAGGAACTTGTGCTGCTGGATGGTGGTAGTTTCCACATGATGTTCTCCAAATTAAGGCAGGCCTGAAGCTTGGATAAAATCAGGTCCATGACCATTGATGGCAGGTAATATTTGTAAAGTAGATTCTCTAATTTTATATTACTCTTCAGGTTTATTACAAAGACAGAGAAAGGGGGATTCAGCAGAATTATTCTTAGAAATGCACTATATCTGGGATGCCTGGGTGGCTCAGTTGTTAAATGTCTGCCTTCGGCTCAGGTCACGATCCCAGGGTCCTGGGATGGACCCCCGCATTGAGCTCCCTGCTCAGCAGGGAGCCTGCTTCTCCCTCTGCCTGCTGCTCCCCTAGTCATGCTTGCTCACTCACTCTCTCTCTCTGTCAAATAAATAAAACCTTAAAAAAAAAAAAAAAAGAAATGCACTGTATCTATGTGGATGGAGTTCTTTGATAAATTTCTAGGGCTGAAGGATGAGATTCCAAGGGTATATATATATATGTGTATATATATATATATATTTTTTTTTGCCTTGTTGCTTCTTGAGTGCAGGTTTTTTAAATATTTTATTATGTTATGTTAATCACCATACATCACATCATTAGTTTTTGATGTAGTGTTCCATGATTCATTGTTTGCGTGTAACACCCAG